TGATCAAGGTTAAGGTAAAGGTCAGATAAAGGTCGTCGTAATGACCTGGTTTTGGTACGCTGCTCACCTTCCCCCCAAGATGTGTAAGTATACCAAGATTGGTAGCGCTAGGTCAATTAGGGGCCGAGTTGTATAGGGGAAGAAAATATGATCAAGGTTAAGGTAAAGGTCAGATAAAGGTCGTCGTAATGACCTGGTTTTGGTACGCTGCTCACCTTCCCCCCAAGATGTGTAAGTATACCAAGTTTGGTAGCGTTAGGTCAATTAGGGGCCGAGTTATAGAGCGGAAGGGAAATATGATCAAGGTCAAGGTAAAGATTGCAGTGACCTGGTTTTGGTACGCTGCACACCTTCGCCCCAAGATGTGTAAGTATACCAAGTTTGGTAGCGCTAGGTCAATTAGGGGTCGAGTTATAGAACGGAAGGGAGTGTCTGCGGCGGCGGCGACTGGACAGACATGAAACCATAGTATCCCCGCCGACGATACAATAATACAAATTCTGCAATTATTTAAAAAAAAAATCAAATTATTTCCTAAGTAATTATTAATTATTAAATAACTATTTCTAAAATTTCTGCAATGATAACTATTATAATTGTGATTCTGATAATGTCTGTAAAGACACCGTATCACGTCAGTCTTGGTGGTGTGCCCACTGCGCTCATTGATGTTTAATCAAGTGGATATATTATTGAGAATGGGTGTATCGGCCGCAGCCATACTACCTCCGAGTGAGCTTCACCCTGACACGAAAAGAGGTGAGCAAAGGTGTTGCAACAGTAGAAATGGCAATACATGGCATTGTTTTATGATGATGTTTGCAGAGTGGGCTTGTTACGGATATCCTAAACGTAACAGTGTCTCAGCGTATATAACTTACATTTTTCTTGTAGGCAAAATAAATTTATGATAAAAATATACAGTTATTGAAAATGCGATATTTCAATGAAGTTATGCTCTTTCCCAAATGACAAATAATAAACTTTAAAAGATTTTTCATTGTTTTGTAGGCCTTTTAGCAGGAGAATTCACTGTAGTTTTCTGTAGCCCTAAGGCTATGAGTCTCGATATTTGGCAAGAGATGGTCATGCACCTCAGTGAAAGATTGTCTTTTCACGTGTGACGAGGCTCACTGCATTTCTGAATGGTAAATTTCACATTACCAGTTTTAACAAACATAATGGAACTGTTTTTAACCGACTTTTTTGGTTTCAATTTCAGTTCAGTTCTAAATTCATTGCTAATCTCATTCACTTTGTTATACCATGGCAAGTCATTCTTATTTACTTCAGGGGTCTTGATTTCCGACCTGAATACAGGGAAATCAGTAAAGTGTATTCGATCCTGCCGAAGTCGATAAGATGGCTGTTTCTGACAGCAACAGATGAGTTACAGCAATCCATTTTTGATATTTTGAACATTCATCCGGATGAGGTCCAAACCATTGCAGCTGTTCCAGACAGGTTAATAACTTACATTATTATATGACTGTCATTTTTCCCACACGCTGATTGGTCAAAACCCCTCTTATAGGTCTAAATATATTGCGATGTTCCACCGAAACCTACAGAATCCGTGCACGCGAGGTGAATATAACAGTCCAAAACCCCGTCGAGCGCCTCGCAGGTGAATATTATAATCCAGGAACCTGTGCTGCAATTTTTGACCAATCAGAAGCGCGGATTGTCGTTGCCTCACTGGAGTGAAAATGGCAGACGACAGTGTAAACAAACCCGGCTTGACAAGATTTGGAACTGTTTCCGATGACCAGCTTAAAACTATCTTGGTGCAAAAGGATTGCTAGAAACACAGTTAAAGCTACCGACACGTCCGTTTGTGTATTGCGTGAATATTTAAAAGAAAAAGCAATAGACACGGACTTTGTTGACATGCAGGCGCTCGAACTCTGCAATGTTCTTCGGAAGTTTTATGTGGAAATGAGGAAGAAAGACGGTGAGAAATACCAACGTAGTTCTCTCTTTAGTATCCGGCATGGTATCAACCGATACCTTTCGAGTGTCGGTTGTAACATGGATATAGTGCATGGCGCTGAATTTACTGAATGCAACAAAGTGTTTGATGCTGCAACGAAACAACTCAAGCGTGAGGGGTTGGTGGAATTGTGCATCATCCCCCAATTGACGATGCCGACCTGCATAAAATGTACCAGTACTTTGCATTGGAGGATAACGTTAAACTGCAGCAAAAGGTTTTCGTCGACCTGATGTTATATTTTGGGAGACGGGGTAGAGAGAACATTCACGAACTTAAAGTTGACGACTTTGCTGTTACACAGGATGGAGATGGCCGCCTGTACTTGCACATGGTTCGTGATGAGGTCACCAAAAATCACCAGGATGACCCGAATTCTGCCGAGGGAAGGATGTACGCCAAACCTGGTGAGTTTTACATGAAACTTCTGTTTATTTCATGCTTTTTAAATTTTTAAAGTGTTGAATTCAACTTTAAACATTAATTTCTGAATCTGTTTACTTTTACTCAGTTAATGTGAAAATATAAATTTATAAAGTTACATTATACTGTACTGTTTATATACCGTATGTCAATGTCACCAATTGTATTGTCATATATTTAAAAACAACCAATATCGAGATATCAAAGCTGATCAAATTGTCTGTGTTCATTATCCTTCAAATCACACTTTAACTTTAAGAATAAATTTATTGAAAATAATATACCAACTTATAGAAATTTTCTATATTTTGTTTGATTTGCAGATGACGTTAATTGTCCAGTCAAGTCTTTTGTGATGTACAAGCGACATTTGAACCCGAAATGTGCACGTCTATTCCAGCAAGTCTCCAAAAAATATCTGTTGGTACGACAACAGCCCCGTAGGCCACAATGGAGTGGGCAAGTTTATGCCGAACATTAGTGAGCATGCACAGCTGTCAAAAAGATACACCAATCACAGCCTACGTGCAACTGCTGTACATTTACTAGATCGAGCAAACTTCGCGGGGCGACACATCATGTCGGCAGTGTTCGAAATTCACGTCGGCCCGTCGGCCCGCCGCCGACAGCTTCGATGCCGGGCCGACAGCTTC